GTGTGATATAGTTCTGCGGTCAAACAGGGGTAGGCTTTCGGTTACATATATATATATATATAGCCTGCGAACAGGCTCTCAAGCTGAATTGAGAGCCTGCATCGATGACTAATGAATTTGAATATCTGCGTCTCAAATCGTGACGCGAAATTCTCATTGGTCAGATGCCATAATTTATATGTTTCCGCTGAGCTCTATATATATCAACTGCTGAACTATGCATAAAAAAACACATTAACTGATCAATTTGGTCTTGGCCATCTTATCTCAAAGCACGAAATGTTCTGTTTTGAGAAAACAGTATTTAAAACATTTGAACTTTTGCTTGAATATCTTATATTTCCAAAAACAGTATAAACTGTACGGTCTAAATTTAGTTTGCACGGTCTAAATTTAGTTTGCGCGAAAGTTGGAAACAACACCATACAGTACTGCCAAGAAATAACTTGTCCCCGCGTCTGCCCGCGTCCTGCCTCCAGAGCGCCCGCGTCTTGCGTCCACTCTGCCCGCGTCCTGCCTCCAGAGCGCCCGCGTCCGGCCTCCGCGACGCCCGCGTCTTGCGTCTGCTCTGCCCGCGTCCTGCGGAAAAACGAACTAATATTTGCATCATACTCGTAGTTTGTCGTGAGAATACAGATCAGTGTCACTGATCGGAGAAGCAAAGAATAAAAAGTTGAATCCGAAATCGAGTTTCATTGAACCTAAGCGTTACACTTAGTATAACCATTTTATAATGTTATACGTTATACTACAGTAAGCGTAGTGCTTTCACAATGCAATCACACGTACTGGAGTGGCGATTGAAGCGTATATGACTGTATATTGGAGCGTAAAATAGACATAAACTATATATAAATGTAATGTAGACACATATACTAAACTCAGTGAGATCACGACTACAACGAGTATATATCTCGCAACACATTCATTTGCTACTCAAATTCTGACTTACCTCGTGGAAGATTGCCGATTAGTTGATATGCAATTCTGTATTTGAATAATGTTATGTCGCCGTAACTCGTCAGTATATTAAAACGAAGATGCTCATTTACAATATATATAGTGCTTTTGATTTTTCATATAAAATAGCATTACTACGAGCCACTATATAACTTTATTTACAGCAACAAGTTTGTGTTGTTTTTCCAAAGCAGTAAATGCACATGGTGATATGTCATATAAATTGATAATTACCATATAATTTCTGGATAAATGACTTCTCTTAATCCCTTAATGGAATACCTTTACATGTCCAGGAAACAGTCTTTGTGTTTCAACACGGTTCAGTGACTGTGACTCATCGCTTGATTTTCAAAGTTGCAGTATAATTCGCTAAAGCTGAAGTGAAGAGCTCAGACTAATATCACTCGATCCGTATTACTATCAGACTAATGAAATGAGGTATCGATCGCTTACTCGTCAACCAAAACGTATTTTGGGTTTCTTCGAAGAAGATATAAAACCATACGTGCATTTTGCCAACCGGCAACGTTAAAAGATTACTGGGTTTAAACCAAACGTTATACGAAGGTGCGAAAGTAGAGATCAAATACGAAAAGGAACTTTACGAAGCACAAATTCTGAAAATTCACGGTAAGTTTAATATTAGAAATATAAAAATCTAGGTTTGTAACGCTTGTGTATATAAGCATAAAAACGTGGTGTGAAATCGCTAACATGAATATTTTCCGACGCCCACGGTTTGTTTATGAAAAGCGAAACGCGATAATTTCCGACGATCTACGAATAGAACTCTTTCTCAGCTGCGTCCTCGCCCGCAGACGCAAAGCGGACGCATGGCGCCCGCACACTGGACGCACCCGTAAGCGCCCGCAGACGCACAGTGGACGCACGACGGACGCACGACGCCCGCAGGACGGACGCACCCGCGGGCGCCCGTGGACGCACAGTGGACGCAAGATGCCCGCGTCTTGGACGCGGTTTTTGATAAGTTATTTCTTGGCAGTACTGTATAAGGATAGACCTTCCATATTTGGAAAAACGAACGTTACAGGGCAGATATTCAAATTCATTAGTCATCGATGCAGGCTCTCAATTCAGCTTGAGAGCCTGTTCGCAGGCTAATATATATATATATATATATATATATATATATATATATATATATATATATATATATATATATATATATATATATATATATATATATATATATATATATATATATATATGTATATATATATATATATATATATATATATATATTTATATAGCTTAAGATTTTGGTTTACGAAACACAAACAGTGCTCAATACCATATAGATAGAGCGTAATATAGTTTTTCGTTTTACCTCAAAAAACCACAACAGTCTGTTTCATCCGTTTAGGAATCATCAGGAATTCATCCGTTTAGGAATCATTAGGAATCATCAGGTCTGGACCACCTGATGATTCCTAAACGGATGAAACAGACTGTTGTGGTTTTTTGAGGTAAAACGAAAAACTATATATTTATATATATATATATATATAAATATATCTTAGGTTTTTGGTTTACGAAACAGAAACAGTGCTCAATACCATATAGATAGAGCGTAATATAGTTTTTCGTTTTACCTCAAAAAACCACAACAGTCTGTTTCATCCGTATAGGAATCATCAGAAGCTAGAAAGAAACCAAAGCCATCTTTAGTTACGCTTTTAAAAATATGGAATTTTCGCGCGCTTTTTTAGCAAACAATGGACCGCGCACGGGCTTGGTAACCACAGCGTGCAATAATACTTTTTCGTTCCCCAAAAAGCGGTGTTCATTATTGCACGCTGATGGCGTCAGCAGCTGAAAGAACGCGACGGCTTCAAGATACCGGGAATTATCCGACGCGTTTTGACCAATCACGAACGAGAATAGACTTTGAATATACGCATAGGAATCATCAATCCTTTGTTACGTTATTTACTAGTTCTGTATGTTACATGTGTACTGCTAACTATAATATATATATATACATATATACATATATATATATATATATATATATATATATATATATATATATATATATATATATATATATATATATATATATATATATATATATATATATATATATATATATATATATATATAGGTTATCATATCAGGGATGAGGTGATATCAGTTTTATCGCTCGAGGGATGATATCACAATTGTCACGAGCGAGCGCAGCGAGCGAGGGACAATTGTGATATCGTCCCGAGAGCGATAAAACTGATATCACCGAATCCCGAGTACGATAACTTATTTATTATATACTTGTACCTTTATCAGGGTTTGACACCCAAAAGTAAACAGTTTTGAAAAAATAGGATCATTTTAAAATTCAAAACAATTCATCATTTACTGAACAAATATGATTTTAGAAAATAAATAGACCATTCATATAAATAATATACAATTTAAGTCTTTCATTTTGTATTATCGTTCTTGTTTTCTTCGATAAACTGTGGACATCAAACAACACGAACCTCGAGTCGGCCATCTTTGTTTTGACAAGGCGCGAAATTTAGCGGGACAAAAAACGATATCCGGGACCAACCTCGTTCCCAGGGTCTTTCTTAGAACGGCGCGAGGCGAAGGAAAGACCCTGGTTTCGGCTGGTCACGTGTCACCCAGATTCTGGGTGATAAATTAAAATGATACTATGGGCAGGGTGGGAGAGGAGCGTGTTTGTCGCGTTTGTAACAATTTTTGCAATTTTGTGTGATGGATTTTAAATTTGCAACAAGAAATCGTGAAGACAACTGCAATTAAAAATTAATATTTATCGCAATGTGACTTTCTGCTGTATAATCTAGTGTCAAGTTACAATTCAAGCAAGTTGGATCAGATTTCAACTTATAGACTTGCCAAAGAAAGCACGCCTGGACGGCGTGGCAATAAGCCTACAAGAAAATTCATATCTCTAGACCGACCAATGTGGTTTATATTTATTTAACTGTTAGTATTAAAGTATATCCTGATACTCGGACCAAAAGAATTTATTTATTGATGGGATGTGGAATTGGAACGAAATAGCGAGATCTTTTGATTTCCGAAATATCGCCAAGACGCCAACTGTATCGAGATTGTTGATTATAAAGGCCTTATCAAAAAAATTAAATCCCGTCAAGACTATAAAATTTCCTGCAAGATCTCAACGATCATGGTATATGTCAAAGTCTAACTATCTGTTGAAAATCTACGGTATTACAGTAAAGTCATACATCAAAGAAAAGTCAAAGGATAATATATTCATTTACGTCTTTCAATGAGCACTGTTTAGCCTAGTACTGTGTTTATACCACATTTATAAATTTTATAAACAGCTTTCGTTTTGACACAACTCACATGGCCAGAAATTCAGGACAACATGGCGATTGGCATACGCAATGTACTTCCTCATTCATTATTCAAGATGGCCGATTTATATATAGATTAAGTATTGCAAATATATGTTTTAGCAATTTCCAACATTTTTCGTACATAAATCCGAGCTCTGCACGTCCAAAACATCATTTAATTACTCGATCCTTTAACCGAATAAATTTCAGAACAGTTCAAGTAGGACAAACCAGTTCCCGAGAACTATATTCCTACCTTATTTCATCACACATACCAGATAGTTAATTCTCCCAAAATTCGCAAACTGCACATTTTTGGACAGCATTTTAGGATGTTCGTGGGCAGTACATGGAGCTTCTGCACGTCTGCAATTTGCTAAAAGTTGAGTTTATCTTTGTTCTCCAACAGTTTACAAACCCGTAGAGGATGGATAAACAGGTTCCAAAAAGCCACCAAATATATGCTTTTTAGCAAACAGAAAATGTGTACATTGAGCGTTGGAATTACCACAAATCACTCGAAAATTTGAAAAGACACAGCAAATTTGTAACGAAGTGACTATATGACCGGCAGCCGGTCACGGTTTATAAAATACTAAATGGCCGGCAGTCTAGTGACTATTGTTAAAGTTTAATTTTTATAAGATAAACCTATCCCCAACCCCAAACCCTTTTCTAACCCTAACCCCTAACCCTAACCTTTTGAGAGTTAGAAAAGTCGGGAAAAAAAGCTTAAAAAATTTTAAGAAAAAACAATGCTAAGTGAGACAAAACACTTCGCGACCCCGACTGCGCTTAACTTTCCGCACGCAGCGCCCTTGCCGTATGAGCTAACGGCAACCTCGGTAAAAGTTAACGCAAACAAAAGTTTTTATATTCAACTATAGTCACTAGACTGCCGGCCATTTAGTATTTGATAAACCGTGACCGGCTGCCGGTCATATAGTCACTTCGAATTTGTAAATGTTGATCCGCCATTTTGCTTTAAAATTGTTGCTAGGCAACCTATATGACTGACAAGGTGTATTTGTGGGCTCAGTGAGGTTGATTTCGCAATAAAATAGCTCAGATTTCGCGGGAAAATTTGTAAAATGTGGTAAAATTATTTGCAGCAGTTTCTATTTGGGCATCTTTAACAGTTGGAAATTTATTTTAAAATACTTTTTTTTCGTTTACTTGAACATACTGTACCTCAAGTAAGTATTTAAACGGCTTATTGTTGTATTGTGCGTATAAAATTTGCATACGAATACAATGTCGGATACATGCCCGACTGCATTCTATTCTTTCTTGAAATGGAAACTTGGTGAATATGAGCCCGCGTGTCTTTCCGCTGACTGTCCTGAATTTCTGGCCATGACAAGCTTTAAATTTTCTGCTTTATATATATTCTTAATAATACAAGTGCAGTGAGATTTAAATTTTTTGCTTTGTGGAATAGAATACCGTTCTTTTTTTAATGGACAGCTCGTACTGATCGTCTCTATCATATCCAGGATTGCTTGTGTGTAAATAGCCTACATGTATCACTATATATGCCACTATCAAATAAATATAGAAATATAAATGAGCTTATTGAACTAGAAATAAACAGATGATTGAGACACAATGAAAACTGTTAGTAGCCTTAGTAGAAGCAGAAAACTCGAAAATTTATGTGTATTCGTATGGCAGTCTGTGGCTGTGCGCGTCTGACACTGTAAATTTGTGATGTAGATTATAGCCTAGTTGTCTGTATATTAGGAAAACATTATCAGACCAAGAAAAAGGCTAAAGCCTTACTATAATTAATGAATACGAATTATGTACTAAATCCAAAATTTTAAAGATAAATCACTGACAGACATTTCTCTGTTTGGCTAGTATCAAATGTTTACATTTGCTGATATTGGGCTCTACTCTCTAGTCCTAGACAATACAATACAATACTGTTTCTTTTAAAAATCTTATAAACAAGACGTGCAAAGCATAGCAACGTTTACAAGAAAGGACAAATCTAATGCGTGTTTGAAAAACATTAAATATGTGAAAAGCCCATACACTGTGAAAAGCCCATAAAGGTCCACAAACGTTTGTTATAACACCGCGCTGATAATAACACGAGAGAGCACTGCGAGTAACGATTTGCTTGGTTTCTTGACTTGACTGTTGGTAAAAATGTAAGAATGTTCTTGTATTAGACAAAAAAACGATATCCGGGACAAAAAATGATATCCGGGATGATATCGTTTTTATGTCCCGCTGCTTCCTACCTGATAAAGGTACAAGTATGTGATAAATATATATATATATATATATATATATATATATATATATATATATATATATATATATATATATATATATAATTAATTAATTCTTGTTGTCCGTAATTGAACGAAGAGTGCTCAATACCAATATACGATAGAGCTTAAATAATTCTATAATCTTAAGATATATTTATCGCTACACAGTGTTTCACGCTTCTTCCGAAGCGATCTTCAGGGGATTGAAGTTGATTCAATGACGTGATCTAAACTAACGGTTTGCTGACGCATCTCGCGTGCGTTCAAATTTGCGCGCGCTAAAGCTATTTCCATGACAACACTTCGCGAATAGAACAATATAGAATAGCGCTCAGAACTATACCGCCTGATGATTCTTTACTGATGAAACATACTGTTGCGGAATTTTGAGGTAAGCGGAATTCTATATTTGCTCTATCTTTATGGTATTGAGCACTCTTTGCGTTTCGTATACATAAACCTACTCGTATGTATATATATATATATATATATATATATATATATATATATATATATATATATATATATATATATATATATATATATATATATATATATATATAAGATCGGATGCGAATGTTTTAACATGCTTAAAAAACGACCCATCTTATGAGTTCATTGGCGAAGTAATTTTAAAAATAAACATTGTCTAAGCCGAGAAAATCAAAGCTAAAATTTATGTAAATCAGGACAAATCTTTTCCGATTTACAAACATTGATTAAACATTCATTTCTTTTGTATTTTCCTCGTGAATTGTTAATGAGATGTTTAATTATATATACTTGGTTTAATCTACAGCATATATTATTATAATAATTATAGATTGTATACAGTTTTATGTATAAATAGTATGCAATTGCACATCTGGTTCCCATGAGGCTTGGGATACCGTATTTACTCGTTTTAGCGCCGCGGCGCTCTTTAAATTTTCAGAGCTTTAGATGCGGCGCTCATTCGAGGGCGGCGCTCAATCGGGGGCGGCGCTCTTTAAAAATATCTTTTATTTGTGAATTAGCCTATATCAAGAACTTTTAACAATAAAATAAACATGTTTTGAATGTCTTTGTCACTAAATGTCCCCATTTTGACGGTGGAAAATTATTACACTGTTTAGTGCGGCGCTCATTCGGGGGCAGCGCTCTTTAAAAAAAATTGATCTCAAATGCGGCGCTCATTCGGGGGCGGCGCTCAATCGGGGGGGGGGAGGGGGGCTCAAACGAGTAAATACGGTAAGTATCATTGTGAAATAATAGGGTGATATACAGTATATAGGTGTTCCATCAAATTTCCACTGTGTTTCATGTCAGTATTGTATTCTGGGTTGAAAAATTTTTATCATTAAGGATAGAGAATATTTCAAGAGTACTAGTAACAGTTTCCAATATTCTTCAGGGACATAATCAATAACCATCAACAATTAGACATTAATCATTATAATTAATGAAGAGCATAGCCATTGTAAACCAGTCCCGATAACCAAAGTAATGAGCAAAACTTCACGGATGACGTAGAGAATATGTTGTGCAGGTCCAACATTACCGAGTCATCAACAGCACAATATAAATAATGGATACTAGATGTATTTTAATTGGCTGTGATTTGGTTTTCGCTTTTGGCAATAAACAATACAACCAAGATATGGCCGTTCTCAAAATTTTAATGTCCATAATATTTGTCATATTCTTGTTGGTAGAACGTACACCGCGAGCAGTCAGGGACCGCTCGCAGTCTAGGTAGATACGTTAAAATCTTACCAATTTAAAGCTTTCAAACTGTCTTGGTGACCTAATTCAACGTGATTCGTTCTTTCGTTTTCGTTGCACCAGCAAAAATACGTTAATTCATAAAGAGGAAGTCCAGAGTACAACACAACATGGAAAACACAGTACAATTCGGTGAAAATTCAGCGAAATTGCCAGAAATGTTATTATATTTGCCCACTCTTCCATGGAGATTATAAATAACACTAGAGGGAGCATCGTAATCTTCAGTCAAAGCAGGGTCAAAGAAAGGGAACGCGCGGCTATTGGGGGGGGGGGCAAAAAATTAAAATGCTAAAGAGCGAGTTTGAGGGTTTTATCTAGATAGATATAGATAGAAACTTTATTTATACACGCTGCATGATCCCGTCAACCGCAGCTGATTTCCACGGAGGCGTGTGCAAAAATAGAAAAATGTTACATGGAGATATTAAAAGAGTTAAGTTTAAAAAGATAGAATATTAAATTATTTACCGTATAAGAAGGTTATTAGAATATTTACAGTTACATCAATTTACTTATTACTCTATGACAATTTTGTGAGCAGCGATTTTATTTCGAAAGGAAGAAATAGAATTCCAAAGCCAAAGGTGTGCTCCGTCATACATGAAACTATTTTTCATATCAGTTTTTTTTTTCTGTGTTGGTGTAGTGTACTCAGGTGAATATGATATTTGTGGTGTTACTCTGAGTGTATATCCACACCGGGCGAGCTTGAAAAATATGCCCGGCCACGGTGGGATTCGAACCTACGACCTTTGGAATACTAGCCCAATGCTCTTCCAACTGAGCTACGCGGTCAGGACGGTTCGAGTAAGTGATATTTCGGAACAGGATCTAGTTCCTTCAATACCAATGTTTTCTAGTAATATGAATTTTTTCTGTGTTGGTGTAGTGCACTCAGGTGAATATGATATTTGTGGTGTTACTCTGAGTGTATATTCACACCGGGCGAGCTTGAAAAATATGCCCGGCCACGGTGGGATTCGAACCTACGACCTTTGGAATACTAGCCCAATGCTCTTCCAACTGAGCTACGCGGTCAGGGAATCCCACCGTGGCCGGGCATATTTTTCAAGCTCGCCCGGTGTGGATATACACTCAGAGTAACACCACAAACATCATATTCACCTGAGTACACTACACCAACACAGAAAAAAATCATATTACTAGAATACATTGGTATCGAAGGAACTAGATTCTGTTCCGAAATATCACTTACTCGAACCGTCCTGACCGCGTAGCTCAGTTGGAAGAGCATTCTAGAAT